CTACTTAGATGAGCTAACTGATTCATACTGCAGAGTTCTGAATCCGCTGCGGATGATTTATGACTAGACAGTAGTTGAGGCTGCACATAATAAAAGCATCTACCAGTTTTTCTCTGCCACTCACACTAATGTTTTTAAAGGCCCCATATTGAGAAAAGACTCAGGAGCCTTCGTTTTACATTTGAGTCAAAGACCACACCAAGGTTTCCTGCTCGTTGGCTTTATTCTTATTGTGAAATAGTATTATTGTTAATCGTCTGCTGCAGTAAAAAGAAGCACTCAGTGCTCAGCAAACACTCAGAAAACGAATCTAAAATTCAGCCTTCAGGAGTTCTTTTGCTTACAGTTTGAAGCTCTGCTGATGTAGTGAGACGAATCAGTCTTTCACTGCACCATTCCCAATATTTATGCTGTGTCTTTGTCTTGAAATTAGAGCTACAGAAACTATCTGTTTCCTGTGCAGATGACTGCACTGGTATTAAGGAAGGGGAACTAGATAAAATACTCCTGAGCCATTAGGTTTTCAATGAATTTGAAATGTGTGGAGTAACCATGTTTTACCGTGTTGAGAATGGGGCTGCAAGTAATGAAAATGAAAAGAGTCAAAAATGCTAAACAGCAAATGTTCATATTTTAGAAGCTGTTTGAGTGTTGGATGTTGTTGCCGCTTCATTTTTCCATCAGAAATGATCAATTAATCTACCAGCTGCTTGAGTGAGAAGATAAGGTTTAAGGGTTTTTGGACGATTATTCTTGTTGATATTTTTTTGAAATGCATCCAATGAGAATAGATGAAAATGAAAGGTCACTTATTGATTATCTGCGAAGTGACTTGTGAAAAGCTCTTGAAGGGGCAGTTACTGGGTCGATAACAGAAAACATACCCAGCAAGCTCCCGATTTCTACATGTGTGGCTTGTTAGAATTAAGCTCCAGCAGACTGTATTATAATTTATTTCACAACTTAGAAGGAGAAACTGAAGAAGAAGAGTGTTGCTTCCTCATGAATACTGACTTCACTTTGCTAACTAAAAAAGAGCTGTGGACACCTTGAACTGATTCTACCTCAGACATGAAGTGGAAATTGAGTGTAGAGAGTTTGGGGAAAAATTCTGCAGAAATCATGTTTTGTTTTTGTCTGCTGGCGTCTGCCCTTGCCGTCAAAAGCTCTCAAATCTCTTTGTCTTTCTATGTTGACATCTTCGCCAGCATCTTCTAGGTATATGATCCTCACTTTAATCCTGAGATATTTGTGTTCTTCTAGTTTCACATCCGTTGTGTGCTAGAATCGTCAGCAACACAACCACTCACTCGCTGTGAATTGTTCCTGCTTTATTCTTACATGGACTCACGTGGACATTTTACCAGGGAACATGCAGAGAAAGAAACGCAAAATGTCTGGAGCAACTGACTCTGACTTTTGCGTTCTCACATGCAGCCCCTCTGGAATATTTCAGGTCTGCAGTTCAGTGCATGTGTGAAAGCAGCTGCACTGTTTTTTTTCTAGTTTAACGTTCTGTCTTTGTCAACAGGTATTGGCTAACCAACAACGTCCACATCAAGCGTCCGACCACCGGCCTCCTCATGTACACGATGGCCACTCGCTTCTGTGAGGAGATCCATCTCTACGGCTTCTGGCCGTTCGCACTTGACCCGCAGGGCAAACCTGTGAAATACCACTACTACGACACTCTGAAGTATGAGTACACGTCCAGATCCAGTCCTCACTCCATGCCTCTGGAGTTTAGGACCCTGAACACATTGCACAGACAGGGGGCGCTCCGGCTCCACACTGGGACCTGCGAGGCTGAGACGAAACCACAGAAAGGGCTTCAGAGCAAATAGCTGGATGGGAGATTGTCATGGTAACCATTATCTCGACTGAGTAGACTTTGTACAAACAGTTTTCTTCTTACTGTAATTTTATGAAACTTGAATAACTTATTTTCAGTAATTGGAACAAACTTGTTTTTCTATTTCAAGCTCTTTAAGTGACTAATTTCTCTGGTGTGTTTGACCTTTTAATGAGATTTCTATGACAAAATTTGAATAATGTGACCATTTTTGTCTAGCCCATATTAAACTAGGTTCCCAGTGTGGTTATTATCTATGATTTAATGATACAAAACACATTTGTGTATTTAAATTAGTTATTAGATGCCATAAATGAATAGTCCCAGTTTAGATAGGGCTTCATTAAGAAGTTTGTTGTGTGTGTTTTTAACCAGAACGTGAACAGCAAGTGGAGGTGGTGAAATGAATGTTTTGTGTGAGTCTCCGGTTGGGCCACAAGATGGAAGCACTTAATCTGAAAGCCAATGATGACTTTTATAAAAGAGTTGATTAAGTATTCAAAATTTATTTTTCCCTCTGATCAAGGAAATTTTACATCTATGTTTTTGTAGCTTGAAGCACCTTTTAGGATGTTCATATTAAAACAGTAAAATCATAAGCATAAATTCAAATAATGAAAATGTTGGGTTACCTTGGGAGCCAGTGAACAGATAGAGGCATGTTGGATTGTGCTCGGCTCCTGTGAGAGTAAAGAAGGAGTGAACCGGCTGTTCACATAAGTGTATTTACACAGACTTAGTAAACCCCCTTTGTAAACTTCTTTTTAAGAACACCAGCCCTGTTTCCACACTGACTGTCAGCCTGTAGCTGTGTGGTGGTAGTAACAGTAAATGAATGTAGTGGCGATATTCTTACACTGTAAGAAATGAGCCTTGTAATGTGCTTTAAATGAATTCCTGAACAGAGCTGGCGATGCTCTCAGTGCAATAACGCTGAGAAGAGTAGGAGCTGAGGAGTTGTTCGTCTTTATTCAATTGAAATGTTGTGTAATGTGTTTGCTTTAGTATTCGACCAATATAGGTTGATGCAGATGCGTGTGGATTTGATGACACTGCCAGTATTTGTGCCTATAGTATACTTAAATCTGACACCTCGAATTGGACCAATCACATGCACATACATTTTCGACCGGAGTTTCGTAGTCGTTTTGAATGTGCTGCTTGCTTCTGAAACCAAGACATGAAACAAAACTATAAACAGAATGTGCAAAAAAGTGTATTTTAATGCAGGTCTGTCAACTTGTTTTTATGTCGTTCTTGCCAGGGATGAAACTCCATTTCAACACCAGATTGGTTTTTCCAAACTATTTAATCCTTGTTTGTATTTTTGTACTTCTAAGCTCCACCTCAGTAAAAGTCTGTCCAGTTTTTAGGGAGTTTTTCAGGAGTCGACTTGACATTCAGCCATTTGCCGAAAACTCTTGTGGGGTATTTTTCTGCAACAGTAAATAAAAGACAATTAACCGAAGTATTTGAAATATTCTGAAAGCTCCTGCAGCTAAACAAGTAGCCTCTCATGCGCTCCCGCCTCATGTGATTTCTCCAAAAGTGTTGTTTTGACAGGATGTGCCTGTTGACATGGATGTTGGTCTTATTACGTTGCCAGTTTAGTTAAGAATAGACATCAAAGTGGCACCAGAGACGTCAGCACCGTGAAACAATGAAGGGTTTATTTGTGAAGGCTTGTCTGCGCTCGCCAAAAAACAGACACGCTCTGTGACTAACACTATTAAATTAATGAACCCAGAGTCTGGTTTGGAAAACCTTCGACTGACATTCTGCTCTGAGAATGTGGGGACTGTGTTGTCTATAGGCTACTTTTTCTCATGTATATCGTATGTTGTGCATCATCTTTTTCCTGTCCTACAAAACCAATATTACCTTTTGCATGTTTGTCCTGTCTTAATGCATACAATTTAAGTATATTTACATTTTTGGGGTTATTTTAAATATTCTGAATGTCTCAAGGACGTGTGAAGTGTATATTTATGACAATGTGAATGTACTTTTCTGTGGCAGAAAATACACAAAACAACAGACTGGAAAAAAACATAACACTTCAAGCCTCTTCTTTAAAACACTTGAAAGGAAGTGGGTTTTATTTCAGCAGTGTTTCAAAGAGATGGAAACTGAGGAAATAACTGCGGCGTACGCGACCAGGCAGGGGCTTTATTTTCAATAAACTTCCAAAACAGTCTTTTCAACGCCTTTTCATGTTTTTAGCCTCAATGTTGGATTAGAGAAATGAGCCACAGTCTTCAAATAGCTACCACAGTGACGCTGATTCATTTTACGAGAGGAATTTTCTGCAACGAATGATTCGGTTACAGTAAAAGTCCAGATTTAGCATTTTAACAGAAGACGGGTTTTTCCACGATTTCACACACAACTTGAGATGGAAGGGGGTAACAGTATAGGCTGACATAATAGGAATAATTAAGCAGAGGAACAAAAATGGATCTTCAGTTAAACAACAGTGATATGAACAGTGACATATTCTGATTGAAAACACATTTAACAACAAACAGTAAAGGTACAGCGAAGAACATTTATATCAAAAATATGCTTGAAGGTTTGTTTAACATCATGAGCACAAGGATAATACATGTATCTGATTATCTGTGAATGTCAACATGTTTATAACAGAAGAAATACACAATGTTCTTTCTCAAGTAAAGAAAGGGACTGAAAAGGCTCCACAAGGTTGATGCAGTTCCTTTTTTCTTATTCAACCAGGGATGGAGGTCATTTGAAAACAGCTGCACCTGTAGGCCACTGTGCACTATCAAATAACAGTTTGGATTTAAACAGAAGGTCACCGACAATGCCCACGCTCACATGTGCTGCACAGATCTAATCTAGGTGCAGTCTGCAGTGTTAGGCCAGTGAGATTACATTCAGGGTGCACAGAGGAGACGAAGGTTTGAGGACTTTCATTTATTTTGAATCACTCTAGCATTTGGTATTCGAATATGACAGCAGCTTCTGTTATTTCATCATTTGTAAGAGTGGCTTCGTACATATTTAAAGGTTCAGTGTGTAAGATTTAGGTGAAAGGTCTCTACTGGCAGAAATTGAATATAAAATGATCATTGTGATGTTTTCACCGGTGTGTAATCATCTAATGGGCCCGTTGTATTTAAATACTATATATTTACATCTGGAGCTCTACGGAGGCCGCCATGTTTTTTACTGTAGCCCAAATTAGACAAACTAAAAGACTTTTGAGTTTTTATGACAACTGAAGGCTTCTACAGGTTCTTTCATGTTTGGAAGGGGAGGGTGAGGTGAAGGGTATCCAGCTGCAACATGCAACTTCACCACTGTATGTCACTAAATTCTACACACTGAACTTTTAATGGGGAAAATGTTTGACTTATTGGTCTGGATTTGGTAAAACCTCAATTTTTAAAACCAAATAAACTATTACCATCAGTATCTTTAAGCTGCGAAAAGGTCCATTAATGTTGCTTGTACTTATTGTACAGAAACAATTCTCCAGTGTTTTAATGATTTGTCTCATCCAGCTTTGCCTGCATCTAAATGGATAAATCCCAAACCCATGAAAAATCAGTTTACATGGTGTGACTGGTTAATGAAAAACTTTAAAAATATTTCACCCAAATTTAGAAATACACACCCTCATCACCAAACTCCATGTGGCACAGATAAGCAACTCTTCTGGAAAAAGGCCCTTTTCAAGTTAAACATTACAAAGGTCAGTGAGCCATTAATGGAAATGATTGTGAGGGAATAAACATAAAACAGCACTGGCTGCTCACACACAAACTCTGGTCCCACGAGAAGCCAGATTAGAGGATCATTTTTAATGGAGCAACTTGACATGATATTTTCTGACTTTACGTAAGACACTGGGTGTGCATTGTGCGTGTTACATACTTCACTACAGTCGTTTTTTTATCACATGATTGAACTATAGAATGTATATGAAGATGGACGACATGACCGCTGTCAAAAAGTGAAGCCAAATAATCTTGATTTGCCCCCTAGTGGCTGGTTGTAGTACAGTTCATAAACCCCACCTACTCCATTTTAGTGGATGGCAGCGTTCGTATCCAAGATATTTTGGCTTCATTTTTGTATAGTGGGAGGAAGTGGAGACGCGTCGTCCATCTTTCCATACAGACTATGGACCAAACACACCTGATCACAACAGATCGCAGCATTCACATTCACAGCATATGGATGTCTTCCATAAATACAAATATATACCGACAGTATTGAAGATTTTCATAAAATTTTGAAAACATAAAACTTCAGCTGAGATAGCAGCAAACTAGGAATGTCTTCAAACAACACACCGTAAAAAAATTATACGATCACTCCTTAAAGACAGAGCGCCTTCAACAGTATATATGCACAATAAAGTGGTCAGTAGATATATTTGGTATTAAAGTTTAGTTTAAAAAACTCAATTACTGTTTACATAACTAGATTTGTCTTTATGTGCAAATTTTACATTGCAACTAAGTATTTTCTGCATGAGATTAGTTGCATGTTAAAGATTTTTGTGCAGCAACTGACTTTAGAGGCCACCGGGTATTTATTTATTTAAAGATTACAAAATATATCAGAAAAAGCCTTGATTAACCCTGCATTCTGATAAAGATGGATCAAAGCAGGTATTGATTCCTACATAAACTCTTCAGCCTAACAGACTTCACACTGTAGCTAAAGCACAAAACAATGAAGTATATGACATTAACTTTGAGGCAATGTAAAAATAAAAAGCTAAATTCACATGTGCCGATTTGTTATGGAGACGACTGACCTCCAGACTCCCAACAGCCTGATTGAAGTAACTAAAGGAAACATCCTGATCTCTAACATTGGAAAGAACTGGGCAACGTGACTAAAGCGTCAGTGAAGCAGCAAACAATGATATCCACTGGGCTCCAGTCTTTTAAACACAGATTAAAGCCATGCACAAGCAGCATATTAACAATGATTTGGTTAAACTTGACCACAAAAAAAAAAATAATGGGAACCACTTGAGTTGTCCTGCACAAGAAGGGAGTTATCAGATATGCACGTCCACGCTGGGATTCACCTGAAAAGAAAGAAAAAGTGAAAACTCAGAGATGCTTTAAAAAGATTATTCTGCTGTTCATGTCGACATAGCGACCATGAAACATGCAGACTAATGACTTGTAGGTCAAGAAAGTCTGGCAAAACAGGGCGTCATATCTTCCCTTAAGGAAGTGTGTCAAAGAACAATTGAAAAGACGGAAGGGTGAAACCTAAAGCTCACACTGGACTACAGCACATTCAAATGCATAACTTAAAAATTCATATTCAAACGCAATTATTTCATATCTGTCTGTGTGATATTTGTATTTGGTGCCAACCTGGAAAGTTACATAGTCAAAACAGAATTGTTGATTTACAGAAAAGTTGATTTACTTATAAGCAAATCAGGATGAAAAGGGTGTGAGTACAATGGTAAGAAGTGAGATAAGCAGAGGCATTGAGAAAAAGGCAAAACTGTTAGACGAGTAATGCAAGGCAATTTTCAAAACACATAAGTCTTGCAAAGGTTAGTTTTTTTATAATATGCACTGATCTTTTAGTGGATGGAGTCAAAACCCTACTTCATTGTATTTCTTCACGGGCTAAAAGTGCTCATTACAGATAAAGTCCTGATCACACACAGTGGTCACTATCTCCTCTTTCAAACACCTAACTTCTTCTGTATGTTTACAACGTTCTCAATGGGTTTATTGATCGATCTCATTTGGGCTGTAGGATCATTAGAAATGAAGAAAGCTCAAATCAAACAACAAACCTGTATTTGACATCAAAGAGTGTCGAGTCGTCCTCGTCATCGTTCTCCTCATTAAGAGGGGCCATCTCAACACGTTCTGCAGGCGTCGTTATGATATCATATTTTCTCGTTTTTCTGATCCGTCTTCCTGATCTGTGGCAAATTAAAACAGAGCCAAACATGAGATGAGCACAAGAAATAAGATCACACAGGTTAGTTTAGATTTAACCCAGGGTGGAATTTACAGGGGGAACACATAACGCAACACTGAATGATTCAATTTAAAGGTTATATGTGTTATTCAACTTACAGCTTTTTAAAGAACTTTTTTCATCCCAATTTTACTGTAGCTACTTCGGTACTAGTCAGTCAGTATTATCTGGCAATTATGACGTAGGAAGCATTTATTTCTCAGCAATATCAAGCGGTTATTTGATAGAAATAATTCATTTAAGAATAACCCAGTGTGTGTGACCATGCAATTTGACCTCTACTCCTCTAATGTTCACACCAAAGTTACGCCCTTGGATTTAACTGATGTTGAGTTCTACAACCATATTAATGTTATGAGTTGTGATTTTCTCTTCTTGAAAAGCTATCTGATGAGCACATTTGGGAATTGGGAATTTTGTAATGGACCTTTTCACACTGAAATTTTATTTTATAGACCAAATTAATTGATCAACAATGAAAATAGTCAGATTTATTTATATATTTTTTTATACACATTTTAGATCTTTTCTTTCTTACTTTCTTTCCTCACTATTCCAGGGTTATTTCATAGGCCTCATGTGACTAACCATTTGTGAAGCTTTTGTCTGTTGAGAAAACAATAAAAAAACCTAGAATAAGTGTTATGTCATGAATGCAAATCCTATGGTCATGATCATGAATGTAAAAATATACTTCACTTAACATAGCCACTCACTGATAAGACTCACATAGGTCACATGTAATAGGCCCTTAATAGGCCCAGACCTTCCACTGTCACGTGGAGCCTGAATCGATGAATCGATCCGAACATATATCATTCAGCATCACAGTGTCAGGCTGCTGACCACAGGCCTCAGGGCTGCATTAGAACAAGTCCTTCCTACCTGACCACTTTGATGACCAGACACGTGATGAGAGCAGCTGTTAACACGCAGATGAGAATAACAATGTTTTTCAGAGTTGGCAGGTGCGTCATCAGAGAAGAGATGCGGGATCCCACCGCAGAGTCCGTCACGTTAGTCACTTCATGTTCGACGGATGATGAAGATGAGGAGGAGGAGGATGTCGAGTTTAACTGCATCGCGGGAGAGGAGAGAGTTTGAGGTTCGCCACTGACCCGCCACAGAGCCGCGATGATCAGAGTTAAAGCCACGTTGTATTTCATCGTGATGCTGGATGATGGGGAATAAAAGTGAAAATGAACCAGCTGGACGTTGGATGAGTTTCTCCTCAATAGATGAAATTCAACAACAGCTGTCACATTATAGAAGATCCTCTTCTCACAGTCAGATTCTACACAGCAGAGAAAAACGCGCAAAGCAAATATCCATGTCTCTTCTCGTCCAATTGGTTTTTCCTATTAAAGCTTTTCTACGTTCAGTCGCCTCCAGACCCAGGTTTGCTTGAGGTGAGTGTGATTCCTTCCTGATTGCATTAGGACTTGGTGAGGAGATGAGGATTATCCTCTGGGGGAGGAGCTCTGCCTGCAGCCTGGCCCTCTGCTCCTGCTGCTGGAGACCAGAGGCTTTGTGTGGGCTGGTGTTGCATTCAAGGCAAAGTCGTATTTCACAGCTCCCACTGACTGTCATTAAAGAAAAAGATGTTGGCAGCTTGAGCTGTGTTTGTAATAGATAGAGAAGGATGAAGGTGCTTTGGCAACTCAACAGTAGAAGAGAAACTATTCACTTTGATACAGATCTGACTCTCATATAAAATACTTTATTGACTCCATTGGGGAATTTTACGTAGGCCAAAATGCTGCAGCAGCTGCAGAACAGTACATTGTGCAACAAAAACAATGAAAACCCAGCATAATAATGCAGAATAAAAATGAGTTAAATATTGCACCTGCCCTAAAAAAACATAAAAAGATAAAACACTAAAAGGATATAACACATAAAAGATGAAGAAGAAAAACTGGCAATAATACCCATGGCCCATGTGGTAAATGCTGAATATGGCCCAAATAGCACAAAATAAGTTTGGGCCACCTTTGGCACCTTTGGTTTATATGTGGTATTGCTATGGCTTTCTTGTGGCCAAGACCTGGCAAACAGGAGCAAACAGCCCAAGTGCCATCATTCCACACGGTATGTGGGCCGGATGACAGTGTGAAAGTGTTGGCCAATTCTGGGCCAAAGCAATTTCCCCCTGTGGTTTAATAAAATATTTCTGATTCTGACCTGCTTAACATGGTGCGTAGCACTGAGATGGAAGTTGGTTAATTGCACACAAATGGTAATAGTGTGTGCAATAATAATAAATAATAAATGTAATATATAAGTTAAGAAAAAAAATTCAAATGTATCAAATTTAGCTGTGAAAACACATCATGTTTCTCACACAGTAGAAAAGGACAAAACCTTGGTGTCCTCACTGGTAAGTCCAGTCAAGTTTATTTAAGAGTTGTGCAATAAAAACATGAAGAGAAGTACAAAAATAAAATAAAGCAAAATCAAATAAAGGTTTACAACAACTTAGAGACTCAAACGCCAAAGAAAACAGACAAAACGTGTTAGTTAACCCTTAAATATGTCTATTCAAAGGAAACACTTAATTGTGACTTGTAAACTCTTCTTGGGGGGCTACGGCAAACAATCGATCACCTTTACCCCTGACTGTCGACCAAGTGACAACTAAGAGCAGCTGATTAGAGCATTGTGATAGAGGCAGGCCTGTTTAGAGGGACTCTATTATTGATTGATTATTGGATTTCAATCATTGTTCCTTTTGACACCAGTCAATGGTTTAGCAATAGATTATGTGTCATATTCTTAGCTATTAGACCCTCTGATCTATTCTTTTTTTACAAACGCAGCCAAATCTAAAGGAGAAAACATGCTACAGGTATGTCAATGTTCTACATTAAAACAAAGAAGTCTAATGACAACATCAATGATAATAGCACTGACTGAAGTCTATTACTGAACTCTGCTGAGTGTTTTATCCCTTTACTGCAAGAAATTTCCAACGGCATATGAAGGCAGCATTTCTCTCATTTTACCCATGGGCCTCAGCACACAAGACTTTTGGAAGGGCAGCAGACTCACGGATCAGACAGACTCCTGGAATAAATGTTGAGGAGACAAGACAGTGATAAGCTGTCAATTGATCAGTGACAGTGATGAACGTCCAGCAAATCCACAGGAATACAGAAAGCACTAAATCAACCTCTGTCAGGAACACAGTTTATGATTGATCCCCTCATCTATTTCCTCTAGTCTTTGGTTTTACAATCTGCAGAGTAGATGAGCAGCATCTCGATTCACACCTACAAATAACCATCTAATGACTTGTGGGTATTAAAACTACTTTAAAACAACATCAGCCATCATTTATTGCACAGTGCAGACCTGTGGGGACTGACATTTACCTGAAACCTGTTTAATTTAGTCTGTCTTCTGATGTCTCGTTTCTACACACCCTCCCCTGGGAGTGATGGCCTTCCACCATGCTCATGAGAAACTATTACATTTTATCAAAGCCCACCAGATGGCAGCACAAAATAACAACGGAGCCTGGGTTTTTCCTTCATGCAAAGATGGAAATTCAGCTCAGACTGGTTAGAGTCAGACTCTGTGACATTACTCACTTCATAAAAACAGAAGCTGAAATGATTTGTTAGGATTTCAGATCATCTTCTAAGTGAGGAGTGTACTGTGCACTAACATGCACACAAACCCACAGTCCACCGTGAAGCACCTGAACATTATCTGTATCTTGATTTTGTTGCTCATTGAAGGAGATTTGCATCTGTGAAACAGGATTTTCTCGCCACAACGATACAAATGCTTAGCTGAAAGGGGCTGTCACATCCTGGGAGGACGGCCTGAACTTTGCACAGAGAAGCAGCTCTGATGGTGACTGCAGTGATCAGGTTACATTGTTCTACACCGGCACTGGAGACATGTTTCACTCCACACCCTTGAACTCAACACTCTAAATGTGTTTGCTGAAGATAACAGCATCAGCATACAGAATAATTCCTCTTGCTAAGTTTAGGTAAACATTCGAACATAGCCTACCTGTTCTTACGTCAACAGTCGTTTCTGTCAAACATGACTTTTGGTGCATGATTTAATTTGGAATTCAACACCCATGAATGTGAGCCTGCCGTTGGTGTTGAGTTTGCCGTGTGTTCAGGCTCACCCTTCTGCATCAGTGCACTATGTGCCCTTCTCTTTACAGAGCACATTCCTGCCTTCCTATTCTGACAAAGGCAGTGCTGTTTGAACTCATTGATCCGTGTTGCAGGTTAGTGTGAGTTCATAGTAAACTTATCAGTCATAGTACGTGATAACATACTATTGTAAACATGAAGCACACATTCTGTAGAAGTTGTCCTGGCCCCACTGCCTGCCAAACAAAATCTGTAATTATATATTAAATGGCAAACTGTAATTTATTTGCAATGTCACATTTGTTTACATTGACCACAAGTTCTTGAATATCAACAGTATAAATAACCTCACTGGAACATCCTTTTACTTGTCCTGTTTTTTCTTTCATTAGCAATAACTTGCTCAACACCATTAACAACCTGCCTTAGCTGAACCCATACAGATGTTCTTTAACAGATCTACACTGGGATTTTTGCTGTGTCATGTGTGAGAATTACAAGTACATTTCCCATTGTACAACTCACACTTTCATGTTGCAATATTCAAGTGACTTGTAAACAAATGGAACATTAGGCTGCTTAGAGTTTTTGGGATCTTATAGTAAGTCAACATGAGGCTATCCTCACTTCCCTTGTAAAGCCTGAATTCATAATGCACTTGAAGGACACTCCTGTTGCTAGGCTCAGGATCTTTTTAAAGAAACCTTCCCCTGCAGAGAGCATGCGCTGCTGAGGCCAACACCTCATTGGTCAGTGATGCGGGTGGAGCACATTCCACAGAGTCTCCATAGACTGACAGCAGCTGGAGGGGTGGAATAGCCCAAATTTGGACAACTTTGACTGTGCCCAATCAGACTTTTTTGATCCATTTTTTTCCAAATTAAAATAAATACAAAGATTAAATGAACATTTAATTGATTTGTTCATTTTTGCCACACACAGTGCCTTCACCTCATGTTACTCGTTTTTAGTCTAACATGAATTGTGCTTTACAAAAAGTGTAAGGGAAGGCTGGAAGCAAACATGCAGCTGTACACATGCAGTATGTTTCACTTAGGGCTGCACAATGAACACTAGCAATAATATGGGTAATATAGTTTTAAAGTCCAATAGATATCGATGTAATGCTTATGAATTGTGCAACAGTCAGGAGGTATAATTGATATTATATGATTGATCTGGTGTTTGTTATTTATTGCCCATAACAATGACTTACTAACATGATCGTCGCTCAGGAGCGAAACATAATAAACTTTGACTTAAAAGAAATGATAATTTGAAATTTATTGTAATAAATTGTGATATTTTTTGCAATACAACCCAACCATTAAAAACGTTTTTTTTACAGAATTATTCTTAGTTTCCATTAAAAGAAAAATCTGCAAATTCAAAGTTTACATGTGTTACATGTTTATAATAATGCTGAAGTTCACTAAAGGCAGATTTTAGCTTAATTTATTGTGACCTGACATTGGCTTAGTGTAACATGATGATAGTTAGAATAAACAACACTAAACATGTTGTGTCAACACGACTTGATGTTGAATATTTTTTACTATTGTGATGTTCAGATGGATGCTAACATTAGAAAAGACAGTTTGTATGATTGTAATGTTCAGATGGATGCTAACATTAGAAAAGACAGTTTGTGTTATTGTGATGTTCAGATGGATGCTAACATTATAAAAGACAGTTTGTATGATTGTAATGTTCAGATGGATGCTAACATTAGAAAAGACAGTTTGT